GCCCCCCGCGCAGCACGAGGCGTTGGTTGCGGGTGAGTGTAAGATGTGACCAATGCCAGTCAAAATTAATGAAAAAAGAGAACAAAGTGACCCACTTTATGATTTCTCAGAATAGCTGTGGTTTTTTCCTGCCTTTTTCACCCCCCGGGCTGGGGCTGAGGGCTGGGACACGCTGGGCTCTGCCGAAGCAGAGGCGATGCAGAGGCAGGAGCTGGCGGCTCATCCTCTCGCCGCCGGTCACCGCTGCCAAGCGCTGCCTTTGCTCCTCTTCGCCGTGACTTTTGTCCCCAGCCCGGTTGTTCACAAGTCCCCGACTGCTCCCCAGTTGCCCCTTGACTCGGTGACGGAGGAGCGGAGCTGCCCAAGGGAGCGAGGGGACAGGACAGCGTGGGGAGGACACTGCGTCTCCTCCAGCAGTGTTGTTTTTTCCCTTACGTTATCCACTTTATGTGAATTTCGGGCTGGTGAGAGATGTGCAGCAAACAGCCCCGGGGGAGCCCTTGATGGCACCCCAGGGACCGGCAGGGCTCACCCGTGGCCGGAGCTGGCCCCTGCAGGCAGGGCCACCACAGTCGCTGCTGGTGGCCACCAGTCCTGCCCGGGCACCTGGCTCCATCGGGACAGGAACGAGGGACATCAGCCACAAAATCCATAGGTTTTTTCCTAAGCCTCTGCATTTCCAGGGCTGTCTGCTCTGTGCCACCTCCACCTGCACCCCTGCAGCCACTCCACTCGCCCAAACACCCGCTGGGGTTTGTCAGCAACAAACAAAATGCCCACCTTTGGCACTGAAAGGGAGAAAAAACCTCTCTCACACCAATGTTCCACTATCGCTGCTCGTCGTGCTCATCACCACACAGGAGTGTGGATCCACATCTCCATGGCATGGTGTCCCTGCCCCACGTGCCACAAACCTCTGGCGGGGCCAACCCCTCGGGGTCTCACAACGCCTCCCACCCCCTGCAAAGCCATAGGAGGATGTGACAAGCCCTGGAAGGAGGTGACACACTCTTGGGAGAAGGTGATAAGCCATGAGAGGAGGTGACAAGCCATGGGAGAAGGTGATGCGCCAATCGCCCGTGAAAGATCCCACAGCAGTTTCTTAACCCCAGAAGTCTCTCAGAACACCAGGGAAGGTGCTGACAACAGATACACGGAGTGAACACAAACCCTCCGTCTTCAGCAAGGCCACCCATGTTCAACTTTAAATGGTGACTTCAACAATACGTGATATACAAAAATTAATCTCAGCGGGTTGTCAGCAAACCGGTTTGATTTATGTCTGTGTTTAACATGTCATAGCTGCTCTCTCTCTCTTCTATCACACCAAGTAATTGCTTCATTATCTTAACGCTCCAATTATTGTGGTAGCATGGCTCTTTTAGCTTATTTTCAATGGCAATGTAATTATCCGCAGCCACCCCAGTCCAGTGATCAAAGATGTTGCAGAATTGATGACCTGCCTCATCCCTGCACACCAGTGGCTCTCCAAGGCACCACCCAGCCGCCTCCTGGCTGGTTCCCCAAAGCTCTCTGAGATGTTATTGCTCCTCCAAGACAGGAGGTTTAACAGCTTACCCAGTGGCGCCTGGCAAGGGGTCAGCAACAGCTGAATTTGCACTGAAGGATCACTGATTCCACACCAGCACCTGGAACCTGCAGGTCTGGAGTTTGCCAGTTGTGGAAAAACTCCCCAGGAGGAAACTGGTCTCTCCAGGACAGCAGTTGTGGAAGAGCACGGCAAGAAGCTTGGCCCGAGCTTGGCATGTGAGGACTCACCTCACCTGGCAGCACTGGTGGGTCACGTCCCAGGGATGTCCCAGCTGTGGGATGTCACCTTAATGCCAGAGCTCACCCACACCATCAAACTTCTGAGGAGCTGCAGTAACTCCCCAGGCTCACCCTGAAATGAACACAGCTGATTTGCATCTTCATTTGCAGGCTTGTTGAATTGCCTGATGCTGGCACTAAATGAGGCACAAGAGACTCACCCGTGTTCCCTGGGACTTCTGCTTCGAGCCCAGGCTGCACCAGGAAGCACACAGATTTCTTTCTGTTAATATCTTCTGAATGGTTTCAAAGCCCAGGGGCGGGTGGCCGCAGGGCAGGAGTGAGAGCACAGCTCACAGCTGGCTCCTAACTCACCTCTCACCCCGGGTACCCGGGGTGTCAGAGCCCAGACCTCAGGTGTGGGGGTGTCTGCTCCTGCAGAAAGGGGGCTGAGCAGCTCTTCCATGCACAGTGCTCCTCAGGGGCCCAAAAACTAAACACGGGGCACAGAGACAGGCGGGAGGAACAGCAGCAGCTCCCCGAGAGCCCGTTCCCTGGGGTGGGATGTGCTGGGCCACCAGGCTGACATGCTGCGACCCATCAGCATCCGACTGGTGTGAGTGGGACGGGATCAGCCCCAGGCACGGGGGGTGGGAGAGGCTCTGCCGGTGGTTTGGGGGGGCAGGGTGTGGGGACACAGCCCCCAGCACCGCTGGGCCATCGAGCCGCTGGCGATGAGTTTATGAGCCCTCGGTGGCTCGTATCAGCCACCAAGCACCAGTGAGTCACCAGCCCGGCTGCTCCTCGGCTGGAAACAAGACTGGTTTGGTTCGTTAATGTGGCTTCTTTACGAGCACATTTGCTAATAAATGATTTCCTTTGTGGCAGCCGCCCCCCCCCCACCGACGGCGGGACCCAGGGACGGGGCTCCCCCGGGGTCAGAGGGGACCAGGGCTGCAGAGAGCGGGGTGCCCTGGGGCAGTGGGGTGCCCTGGGACCCCCCCAAGCCCCACAGAGCCCCCTGCCTCCCGGGCCCGTCCCGAGGCACCATGCAGGTCTTCTGAGGGACAGGGCATTTTAAGGAATCTTCTTGAGGAACAAGATGACATTTTCACAAGAAAAACTCCACCGTCTCAGCAGCGAATGAATCTCCCCAACGTCTTCAGCTTTAGGGCTATTTATAATTCCTTGCCAGTCATTTCCTTTCTAGTCATTAAGAGCTCCGCTGAAATAAGCACCCTTCCTTCAGCTGCTGGGATGAATGGCACCAAATAAAGCAGCCAAGCATCTCTCCCAGCAGCACTCAAAAAAAAAACAAGTCACCAAAAAGCAAAGAACCCCAAACCGGGGAGGGTACGGTGACGCTGCTGCTGAAGTGCTGGTGACAAGTACTGGAGCTTTGCAGGAACGGGTGTAGGAAACACCCTTCTCCACCAACAGCCCCTCGGGTCACCGGCACAACACCCAGGTGACATCTCTGCTGGCACACTCAGGTGTCACCTCCTGCTGCTCTTCATTAGTTAAGCCCAGGGAAGGCAGGAGCCCCCGCTGTGTTACCTTCAACCACAACCCAGTGGTGGGACTCACCTTCGTACCGTGGCCGCTCCTGCCTGCGCCTCAACAGCCGTTCTGGTGTCATTGGATGGATGGTGGCCAGGAGAAGACAAGCCACAGAGGGTTGTGTAGGTGACAACATGTATGGGCCATGTAGGGGACATCCATCGGGCCCCGGCAGCTTTGGAGGGTTTAAATTACTCGTGGTAAAAACAACCCGCTATGGGCTCAGCTCTGCTCCACGTCCAGCGCTGCAAATTGACTTTTTTTCCTGTAATTGTCAGTAATTTGTATTACAAATTGCGCTGTCTGCGGCACCAAAAGCAGGATGCAGCTATTCCCAGGCCTGGGCGGATGTCTGACAGGGAAAAGCAGTAATTATCAGCGCTCGTCACGGGGGCCCTGCCAGCCCTCTCCAACGTGGGTCCTTGGAAGTGTTGGGATGCGTTTCCTGCGCCGAACCCGCTGCTCCCCCAGGGATGCCCACCCGGGGCAGGCAGGAGATGGGAAACCCTGCGGGGCAGCATCCCTCCCACCTCGCAGCCTCCAATGGAATCCCTCCAGCCGCAATCAGGGTCTGTCACTCTCTGTCCAGAGAGGGGGGACAGTGGGTACCAGCCCCAGGGAGCAAACAAGTGTCTCCAGCAGACAAATGGTAAATCCACTGCTGACAGTATTCACAGGCAGCAGTGCCCCTCGGAGCACAAACGCAGAGCTCAGATCTCAATATCCCACAGAACTGGTTTCAAGGACCTGTCTAAGGACTGAGCATCACAGCAGAAGCTAAAACACCACAAAACACTTATGGAGTAGACGTGGAAGTTCTGTGAGAAAAACACGGTTAAACCTCCCTAAAGATCCTCTCTAAATACTCCCCGTGAATTATTTGCTCAGCTGCAACCAGGAGGCACATTTAGTGTTTAATAACACAATTATTTGAAAAAGATTTTAAAAGGCTTTTGTAAAGATTTACCACATAAGCGGGGATTCCAGCGTCAGGGAGGAGGGTGCCCGGGCAGCTTTGGGGGAAACATTATTTTTAATGAGGCTGCTTTATGACTGCGGCGCTCCCCGTTCCTGTAGAAAGCAGGGCTTCCCACCCAGCCCAGGGCAGAGCCCAGCCCCTCCAGGAAACCCAAACTGGTGACCGTCAGTCACCACCATCTGACCCCCAGGGGCACCGTCCAAAGCTCCAGGAGCACCATCTCTGTTGATGGAACACCTTTATAGCCCATCCTCTGTATGGACGAGGAATGTCTCCAGGCAGTTAAGCACCACAGGATCCTCCTTTTCCTGCGGATCCAGCAGCGTTAAGGACCCCAGGCAGTACCGGGCACCTGGGCTACAACTCTCCTTTAGCCACCGGCCACCGTGCCGGGCATCGGGGGCACCGGGGGCAGCGGGCACCACCTGCAGCCGGCACCGCCTGCAGCCTCGGCAGGGGGATACTCATGGGCTTCTCCACGGCTCCATCTCACCCTGGGGTTCCTATCGCACTGACACAGCTTTCTGAAGCTGCTCTCCATGGACGACAGGGGATATTGTTGCCGTATTAAAGAAATGAAGTGCTGCTAACTCAAATACCACCAAAACACAACGATAGAGTCCTCCCAGGGAAGTTCAGCAGCCGAGGTAAACCCGTCGACATGAAATCCATTGACCACTACGCACACAAATGTTTTTATTCTTCTCTGGTTAACTGCACAAAATTCAAATCTGTCTTGAATTAATTACTATAATTAAAAGGCAGGCTCAAAAGCAGAAGTCGGTAATTACTCTCTTTCAAAAGGCTTGCTTTTAGTAAAAAACAAAACAAACTAACAAAATCAGCTTCCCGTTTTCCCTCTGCATCGACTCACCTGGAGCAGCAAGGAGAGGCTGGATTTGGCACAGATTTAGCCTGTTCCAAACAAAAATATTGCTGGGACCGTGGTTTGAATCCCAGAATCACAGAACTGTTGAGGTTGGAAGGGACCTTCCAGATTGTTGAGGAATAGTTTGGGAAGCAAATTGTCCACTCCCAATTTCAGCTCCAACCTGAAGTCAAGAGCCACAAAACCCTCCACCTTCACCAGCTTCTGTGCTTTCTTTGCAGAGTTCCCAACGAAAGGTGTGACCAGAGCTCCAGGGCTCAGCAGGAACATCTTGGAGAATTGTGCATGGGATGTATTTTGCCCATAAACTGTATTTTCAAAAATCTGCCCTGTTGTTCAGGTTTACTTTGATTTTCACACATTGCTTTATTTCATTACAAAAATTCATCATTTTCTAAGATAAGACTTATTGCTAATACTTATTTTAAAGCTATAATACTTAATGTCCAACCACCTTCTGATTTCTTTCAAATTTAATGAGTTTAAACTGAAATACTGACACGTACTAAATGAGTACATTGACATGGATATATTAGAAAAAAAAAGCATATTTCTGTAGATGAGAAGCGCGCTCCGTCCCTCAGCTGCCCCCACGCCCCAGCCCCAGCCCAGCCAGGGAACATCCCCATCAGCCTGATCCTCAGGAAATGCTGTCCCACCATCGCTTCCAGGAGGGCAGAGCAGGGGTCCGTGGGCCAGGAGTGGGGACAGTGACACCACGCAGGGACCCGCTCCCGGCTCCAGCAGCCCCCGGCGCTCCATGGCAACCTTAACGGCCAACGGCCACAGCGCCGTGAGCAAAACCCATGGGGACACCCAGCTGGTTATTTTAAGGCAGGTTGAATGATAGTTACGCCAAAATTCAGGGGGTTGTGCAGCTCCCAGCTACCCCAAGAGCTGGGAGTCACCCAGGGGGGGTGTGTCGTGAGCCCCCACGGCCGCAGCTCTAGCTCTTGTGCCGCTTGCTCTCGGGGAGCAGCCGATCGCCCTCCCGCACCTGGGGCTGGCGGGACTTTCTTTTGGTAGCTCTCAGGTCCAGACCACTGCTGCTGGGGGAAATAAAAAGAAAGACAAATCAGGTTTTGAAGATGCTCTAAACACAGCAGATACTGAAGGCTTTATGAAAGCGGGGGCACACCCGCGTGTGCTACGGCTGGTGGTGACACACGGCTCTGCCCTCCTGTTGGAAGGAGATGGTGGCACCCACGGAGCACTCCCCTCACCCCGAGCCCACGGCGCCGTGATGCTTCTCCTCCCCTCGCCAGGGACCAGTTGGGAAGGGGAAGGAGCAGCCCCAACCTTTCAAATTCCTTGTCCATAAATGAGAAGAGCCCCCGGCGTTAGATGAGGAAAGGTCAGCCCGAGGGAGAGTCCCCGCGGCGGCGCGGGCACCGAGGGCAGCACCGGCGGCTTCGGCCACGGCTACCCAAGAAGGAAAGCACATGGGACTCCCAGCCCCAAACAGGCTCTCTTTGCCAGGGCCTCTTCTCTTTTATGGACAAAGAATTTTCCACTGGAAACTCAAAGAAGTGTTTTCTTTTTAGTCACAGAGTTAATTTTAAAGGAAAAAAAAAAAAAGTTAAACTAGCCATATTTAAATTAAGCAGCTAATTTCCATCATTTACTCTCGGAGCTTAAAATTCCATGTAGTGTTGACATGAAAGATATCGCTCATCCATCAATGGCTATTTCTAATCAAACAGTCCTTACAAATGCACTCTTTTCTGTACCACGTGCTAGGATGAATCCATCCTGCGGGGATTATTCATTTGGCTTAAGCTGGTAATTCACAACTGAAAATAACAACGGGAAACTGTGAAATGGCAAAGCCCATGTCCCTGCTGACTGTCACGGGACACAGATGGGGAGGGACGGAGGGGAAGAGCCCGTGTGTCCCAGCTCAGGATGGAACAGGAGCTCCCGCAGCTCCCGGACCCTCAGCCAGGTCCCGCAGGAATCCCAGCGCCATGGGATCCAGGCTGCGCCTCTGGAGGGGGATTAAAGGCACCTGTGGGGTGCAGGGAAGAGACACGTGTATCCCTGACCCCCTCTGACCCTCCCCAGTCCCCAGTGCTGCTGGGAACTGGGATTTCTGTACTGTGTGTTGGGAGGCAAAGGCCTTCCCCAGCCCTGCCCTCCATCCCCTGCACTCACTCGGCGCAGAGGATCGCCCCGTGTAACCCAGCACAGCTAAGGTTTTAAAAGCCAGGGAGGTCAGACCTTCACAAACCCACTCAGCTTAAACCCACCGAACCACTGAGAAGTTTCCTGGGTGAAGGGAATTATCAAAGGAAGAACTGATTTTGTGATGGATACGTGTCACCACTGATGTTAACATTCACTACTGCCAGGCAGCAACGCTCCAGTAACAAACCCCAGTGCAGTTTTCATTACTGACATCCCTGGTTCTTCTTCCACTGAGGAATATGTTTTTCCAACTCATGCAAGGAGCCGCAGATGCCAAGCCCTTAAGGCACAGCACATCATCTCCTGTACCGCAGAAAACGGTGCTGCCAGTTGGCATCTCCAGAAGGGCATTCAGGGAGCACAAAAGAAGAATAGAGAGTAATTTGATTGTACCATCACCAAAATACTGCAAGTCACTCTCTGCTGATAAAGAAACTATAGCCCACCATCTGCAGGTTTGGAGGTGGCAGGCTCCAAAGACAGGGAAAATAGGACTGGGAGCCTTGCCATCCGCTTTTACATTTCTCAAAAACCCTTCCCAAAGCCATGGCTCTCTCACAAGAAAGGCCGAATGATTCCTCTCTGGTTTCCAGCCATGTCCTCCAGCACTGCCCTCTGACACCCCTGTAACCAAGGCCTTACCTGTGCTTCCATTAAAGCTCCTTAAATTCCATTACATTAGCTAAACACACGCTTTAAGAGAGTTTCAAATGTTACTTCTATGATTCTGTCATTAATCATGAATTTTAAGAGCTGCCACAATCTATTGACCACGTAAGTATGTGATGGGTAATAGAGAAAATTGTGTCATAAATACTCTTTACAAACAGATGAAGAGAATTCAGTGCAGTACGGTTCCCATCGCGCCCCGCCGATCGACCGCCAAAGGGGACGTGACATTCCAAGGGATCCCAGATGGAGCTGGTTTCAGCTGCAAGGGCAGACTGTGCTACGGGCTCCACCAGCCCCATCCCCTCTCTCTGAATAACCCCAACAGCATTGCAGCTCCTCCAACACCATTCCCAGCAGCCGTGGAACTGCACACCCCCACCCACCCCCGTGTCTCCTCTCCGTCTTCATGCTGCCTTGGGTCACCTCAGGAACTGCTGGATGGCTTCCTAGGATCTCTTTGTGCAGCACCTTGCGCAGCTAGACCCTAATTTTAAATATTAGCACTATATAATAGAAGGGGATTTTTGGTTTTAAGGAATAAGATGTTAAGATTCTAAAAACAAGGCAGTGCTCTTCTCCCTTTAAACTGAAGTCAGTCCAATTCCAGTATGTTCGACTTGACAGAGATGTAGGTGACACTGACAACAATGTAACTTTAAATACAATAAAAGATAAGATTGTCTAAATTTTCCATAAAGAACAATGATTTTCAACTAGTCGTCTGCAGATCCTTGGAGCACCCCAGTATTATTCTCTGTGGATCCAAAAACACTGACCAAATGGTACCTCCCACAACTGTGGAAATCCACTAAGACCTGACTTTTCAGAGACATCTACCCTCCTGCAGAAAGCACATGGGATTCTGCAAACTGGGAACTACTGACCCAAACCAGTCACAAGGACCTCTCCACCCATAGACCCTACTTACTTGTCAGAGGACGTTGAACTTGTCTCAGGCCCTTGCAGATCTCTCAGAATGTCTGAGCAGGAGCTGAAGGGGAAAATAAACCAGATGTAAGTTAGTTTAGCAGCAGCTACAGCCCAGAAGAGCTCTACTTAGCCAGGGCAGCAGAACCTGTAGATGAGACAGAGCCCACAGGCAGCACTGCCAACAGGACGTCATTTCCACCAACGAGGAGTCATTTCCACCAACAGCACAGACCACAAAGTCCCTGCATCGCAGCGTGTTCACAGTTACTGCCAGATCCTATTGTCACCATTTAACACACAATTCTCCGTTCATGTCTGCTTGTTGGTAACTACACCACCTTTATATTCACCAACATGAGCTGATTGCTCTGGAGAGGATTTGCAAGATACTTTGGTGGCAAAGTACAACATTTCACAGAGCAAAGGTGCTTTCAACCTCAAAACTCAAGGTTTAGGCATAAGCTTATATTTGGACCATAACAAAAAAAAATAAAAAATGAATCAACATCCACGAAAAAACCTAACCACTGAAATGGTTAGTGACACAAATCCACACCGCCAAGATGGTCGGCACGTCCAGACCTTTAACACATGCACATTTAGTGAGAAAGATAAAAGGAAAAAAGATAACCCAAAATATACACAAAGCACTGGTGCCATACGGAGAAAATTATTTTGAAACAAAACGGACTCAAAAGTTTTGTGTGCAATTTTAGCAACTCTGCAGTGGTTCCCCAGGAACACTCAAGAGCTGCTGAATAAACCTGTCGACTTACAAACATTATCCAAGGGAGCAGTTTTAACGCAGAAGCAAAGTCACCTGGAATCAGAGGCAGTTTGTAAGGAAAAGCACTTTACCCCCACAGAGGCACCGGTGCCCGGGGAAGCGGAGCCGGAGCCGGAGCAGGCACAGCCCGGGGCACTGCCAGCCCCTCACAGCTCCTGCTGCAGCACCAAAGCTCATGTGAAACCTTCCAAGGAAAAACACGGCAAAACACACTGCAAAAACAATGGTGCATGGGGAAAGTTTTGATGTCCAGCGTTTTTTTTAAACTCAAAATTAAAAGTCTGTCAAAAACTCATTTTCAGTCCACCAAGTGGATGCCCAAGGAATGAGGTATTATCATACTTCTGAACCCTACCCTGATGTTCCACTTACAATTTTAAAAACAAATAGGAGATGGAGGACAAGGGGCTATTTGGGTGCTTAGAGTCCCTTAAAATAGAAAAAGAACAGGTTTGATGCCTGAACATGATGTACGCACTTGCCTTGAAAGCGCAGCGTTATTATCATTTATCACCAACCGCGTAACAAGCAAAACAATAAAAGTGAAAAAATTTGGCTAAGGCTCAGAACAATAATGCAGGCTCGTGATTTGCATGTGCAATTTTGTCTCTGCCTACCAAATTATCTTAAAACTGAGCACAAAACGTCCCCGAGCGAGTTACCACCCCACCCAGCCATGCAGATGGGACTGGGCCACCAGCGCAGGAGTAACTGGTCCCAGTGAGCCCAATCAAGGCCCACTCTAATTGCCTGGGCCTGTGTGTGACAGCACCGAGCCACAGGGCTGGGACCCTCCTCCTGCAGCTGAAACCCCCTTCGCTCCAGAATTCCTTCAAACCACCCACAGTTCCCAGCCAGCCGCTCGCTGAAATAGTTCCCTGCATCCAGTCCCTCCTAAACATCCATTCATTTCACAAAGACTGAGAAATTGCTTGATTTTTAGTTGAAGTAATTATATATCATTATTCCACACGCAGGGAAAAAAAAATCTGTTTGCAAATTAAAAAAAACACCTCCTTGAATATGCCAGAGAGTTGAAAAACAATTATCAAAAAACTTTTCAACTAAGGAAAAGAGATTTTGACCACCAAGGGAATTCATATTTTAAAATAATGCTTTTTTTTCTTCCCCTGAAGAAAGCTCCTAAGTGCTTCTTATTGTTGAATGAATTCACTTAAACTGATGAAAATGAATTAGACAAAAAAAGAAACAGCTACCTCATTATATATGTTGTTTCTCTAAATCTTAGCCTGGGGGAGTAAAGAAATTATAGAATTGAGAACAGTTTTGTTCATTTCTTCGGTATTTTCTGCCTTTTTAGTACCCCACAGGTATCTACCGAAGCGGGGCCAGACACAGCAAACCCCCACTGAGCGCTTTAGCCAGACTCCAAAGCCAAGGCAATTTCCCACCAGAGGTTTTCTGTCCTTTTCTTTAATAAAGGTCATTACTCTGTCCTAAAAGTTTACATCTCAGTTCCAGACGAGCACATTTGTGTAGCAAAACCATTAAGGTTCTGAAAGGGAGCTGCAGGAGGTGCTGTGGGCTGCGGGAGGACGTGATGGGGAGGGAAAGGTGTCCTTTGGCACGGGTCACATCTCCGGGCTGAGGAAGGTGCAGCCCCAGTGACTCCAGCCATCCCCTGCTCTTCTGCAGGATTCGCTGCTTCTGGGCACTTCCAGACAGCCAGACAAGAGTAAACTATTCCTTTCTTGACCATCACTTGGATTTGACTCCCTTCCAGACTTTTCTTTTTTTTAAGATAAACACATCACCTTAAAATAGCGAGAAAAAAAGCTGATGTAAGTGTGAATAACATGTCTCGTCCTAAAAATGAAAGGAGCAAACGTCTCTCTGAATTTGTTTATTTTAAGGCAGATTTAGTTCCTTCTTGGCCTGGCAGTGAAGAGCCCGTGTCCCTCAGCCAGCCCTTCTTGCTGCGCCATGGGCCGCGCTCTGGCACGTGCCCCGAGCCTTCCTGCCCCAGCGCTGGCAGCAGAAACGAGCTCCAGCCTGGTTGTCTCCGCCGTGCAGGCCTGCTTCCACCCTGACCTGTCGGGGACAAGCAGCTGGAGCTGGCTGCTGGGGCGGCCCCAAGCCCAGTGTGATGTCCTGCTCTTCACACCACACACCCTGGCACCACGGGGCATGGTCTTGTCTTCCCAGCTTCGGAGGACAGCGGGTTTGCCAGCCTCGGACCTTCCTCGGGATGCCCCACAGAGGGCTCTCCTCTGTACTAACCCTTACCCAGCTTCCACTGGTTTTCCTGATTCTTTCCAGGCTTTTTTGGCTTTCAGTGGCCTCCTCTGCAGCTCAGGAACATTGAGGCACTCCTTCAGAAAAGGAAAAGATGTGTCGGATCAATCTGAACTACTCACTTAGGAGCCTGCAACAGTTGGGACGCCCAGGCTGAAGCACTGGAGAGCTCTGGGGAACTCTCACTTCTGTGTCCAGGGCTCAAGGATGTCCCAGCCCCATGGCTGTGGAGCAGGGACTGGTGTCCTCCTGGATATGGGCCGTGGTCACTGTTCCCCATCCACATCTGGGGTCATCAGCTGCTTCTGTTTGAAATTACTTCTCTGGGGCTCTCTCCACCGCGCCTCAGTTCTTGGCCATTTGTTACGACTCTCAGTTTTTGGAAGAAAGGTATGAATCAACAACATAGCAGAGAAGTATCATCATCCTTCCATAATGAACCCATATTTGAGGCCAAAAATCAGAGATAAAATGCTCCTATTTAACACTGTAATACACATCATCTCTGAGCCAACGCAGTTCAAGATTTATTAAGTCAAAAAATGTACTGAAGAAGGCAGTTATTCCTCTAATCAACACGTTTTCATATAGCTCTCCATGTGACAGTGAGGGCCAGCCCAGGGACCAGGACAAGGCTTTCCTTAAAACTCAGGCTGATGGTGGGGCAGAGCTCACACAGCTTTTCCAGCCACTCCGTCCTGTCCATGGCCTTGGAAAAACCAGTGGCTCCTGCGAGGTCTCCAGGGGATCGCTGCCACCCAGGGAGCTCCTCACAGCTGAGACACAGCTCCCTGCGTCCACCCCTTCTCCAGCCCAAATTCTGCAAAGCACATAAATCCAGGAGCAAGTGACCAGCTAAAGCCAGAGGGTAGATCCTGATCGATAGCTCCTGAACCAAATGCCAAAAAGCCCCACTCACTTCAGATGAGGCCCCTTCCCTGGGCACGACTCTCCCCTGGCAGACGCTGCCGCTCCCCGTATTCCAGCAGCACAGATTTATCCAGGCTGTGGATGTAGCGCTTTTCCAGCGGGATTTGGAAATGAAGTCACTGTGTTCCGTGCACACCTGGGTACCCAGACCAGGCCAACAATACACACTGTCTGCTCTTGCAGGTCTCTCACTCTGGTCATCAAGAGCTGACGCTTTCTTCTAACCCAAAGTTTTAAAGAGAAATATTTTGTCCAAAAGCCAGAATATTATCCCCATTACATAAAATACTTTTAATAGAATGTTTCCTCTGCATAGTTCATAACCATGTTTATCATTGTCCCACCTAGTTTCATTTCTAATTTTCCTTTTGTTTAAGTAGTTGCATAAAATTTGGCTTCAGTCCCAGAAAGCAAAAGAATGCAACGGGACTATTTATACGGAGCATTAAAGTTCTGTGAAAGCTTTATTCATGACTTCATGGCTTTGACAAATGATCCTTCAGCAGTCACAGCTTTGTTTGCGTGTCTGTTACACACATTTTGCTTTCTTGGTGGGATCATCAATTTATGAAGACACCAACCCGTTTGGGTCAGCGCTGGAACCTCCAGGCATGGCCTCTACCTTTTTTTCCAGCAGGTGTGTAAAATATTTATTTTATCAATTAAAGCATCAACTTTTGAATAATATCAGTGATTGTTGTACAAGGTATTAATTTCTAATGTTGACCAACTGCTCCCTTAGGAGATATGGATATGAGATTGACAAAAGACAGAAGGTCTTATGAAGGCAAAAACATAAGAATCATTAATTTATTTGCAGCATCTTTTTATGGAGCAAACATTTCAACCCCCCAATTTCAAGATTGGTTTGTTATATTCTATATGCTGCTCAAAATCCTCATTTTCTTTAAAGCCATCATACGCGAGCCATCCATTTAGAAGTGCCCTCTTCATAAAAACACAGCACAGATTTGAACTTCCAAGTATATTTCAAGTTTTGACATTTCAATGTGAAAAACATTTACCCTTGTCAAAGGATATCCTCTTATTATCAGAAATAAAATACAAGCCTCAGAAAAATCACTGCTCGGTACAATAGCACAATGCTACTGAAACCCTCAAAACCTAAATCACTTTTTTTTTTTATTTGTGCTATATTTATTTCACTACTATTAACAAAATATTAACCCCATGCTAACCAGAGGGTGACAAAATTCCTCACTATTCCATGCAGTTCATACGACTACACCTACTTCTTACAGTCCTGAACGTCTTGCTGTAAAAAACCCCAGCACTTTGTTGAACCTCTTGTCCAGGGCAGTAGCTAGGCTTTTAAGGTTAAGCAAACTGCCCTACATTTAAATAGAAATAAATAAAAAAGACACCACACATACAGAGCAGGGGACATGCACAAAGCAAAGAGAAACTCCCAGAGAGATTCTGAAACACCAGCTCTGTGCAGGCTCCAGCCATCCTGTTCCTGTTCCACGGGAGCTGAATTTAAGAGTAAACCACAGGGAGCTCTTAAACATGGGGTTTTACAAAACCAACTCCTGGTCTGCACAGCTGAGAGAGCCTGGGTTTGATTCAAGGAGTCTATAGAAATATTTCATTTGGACAGAGTCAATGCATAAAAAGAAGGAATAAACAGCTCCACCTGGGACATAGTGCAGACAAACACACACTCTCCAACAAAACCCACCACCGTGGTCCATGGAAGCCCATTTGGCTCCTCAGTGAGGGCCACACACTGACACCCCATGGCAAACCTCCCCACAGCCCCCTGGACACACTTCCACCAGACTCTAAGTTTATATACAAACCCTGCAGACAGAAAAAGGTAAAGAATAAAAGTTTAACTTTGATGTTAGAGGCCATGGGGAGAATGACTCCTAATATCACTTACACACCGAACTGGCAGTGAAACAGAGACTTAATGATACCTGGGATGAGCTAATACAAGCCCTTTCTGCCTCCCAAGAGCTCACTCTGCAAGATTAAAATTCCAAATTTTCCAAGGTCCTTAATGCCAACAGGTTAATTTGCAATCAAAAAAATAAAGTAAGTAAAATCGGGAAGAACAGGAACACCTCATCTGAATTCTGGATGAGGAGCCAAGCTGGAGGCATTTATTTTTGGAAGTAAAATAACAATCAGAGCTCTCAGGCAACGGCAGCAGCAGGCATGGGGAGAATGAAGCGGCTCCATGAATCCATCACCCCCAGCCCTGGCAAACGGGACATGGTGCCCAAACCGACGGGCACTGCCTTTGCCTTAGCCCTGCGGGAATCTGCTGGGGATCCTGCCCCGGGGGAGATCCTGCCCCAGGGGAGATCCTGCCCCGGGGATGTGCCAGAGATCCTGCTCACTTCCACCACTCAAACCCATGACGACAGGTCCCTGCTGCCCCGCGCGTCCCCAGCGCTGCCTGCCAGCAGCGGAGCAGCCATGGCCAAGCTGCAGGCTGGAAAGCTGAGGCTTCAGGCACGTAAAATCAGGCTCTGGAACAAAGCCACAGGGCCAGTTTCTTCCCTTTTATGTGAACGCTGAAGAGCTGTTGTCCCTGGCCCATTCCATCCCAGTACAGATCCTGCTGGAGCAGCTTCAGGCAGAAAGACACAACCACTGAGGAGGTAATGGCCACCGGGAGGGGAAGGTCTTTACTGGTGCTTAATGCAGGTTTGAAGCCAAACAAAAACTTAATGATATTTTGAAAGAGAAACAAAGACCCCAGAAGGATCTGGCCAGACAGCATATTGCTGCTTATAGACAAATATTTACTCTACACTCCCCTTTAGCACAAGGAAATGGAAACAGGCACCAAAGCCTGATCCTGTAGAAACAAAGACATTTTTTAACATTTGATGCTAATGCCCCAAGTTTATCTCCTCTCTCCTACCTCTTCCTAGGCTTTCATTCACCCTTCAATATCTACCTCCATGAAAGGAAACAGCCTCAATGCTCACACTGACTTCATAATACTATTTGTGAACCAAAATTAATTTAGAAAAAATTGTTTCTGTTAAACTTTTCAACAACTAAATTGTTCATTTAATAAACAATGCCAAAGCCAACCACTATATTATTCTTAACGTTTGCAGAACAAGGAGGAAGAGGCACATCCTATGGGTGTCATGGGTGGGAAATTCAGAAATGTTACTCCTCGCTCTGCTCCCTGACCTCCAGCTCCTTCCTCTGATTATCTCCCACTTCTACACACGGGAAGCCCTTTTCTTCCCAGTAACACAGACCTGCAAAGGGGGTCTTTTCCTCTCATTTCTGTTACCGACAGAAGTTTCGGTAAGATCATCAAGTTTCACTCTCTTGCTTTGATACACATAGCAAAAGACAGTTATTCACTATTTGTTTTCAATGGCTTTTTCACCCTTTCTGCAGCAACTGGGGCCACAGCAATCAGTACTGCAGCAGGATATTTATCTAAGTATTCATCCTCGACATCTTTGACAATGGCTCATTAGTAGAACAGCAGATTCTGAGCCATGAAGTAAACACCTTGAACAGATACAATGCTACCTTCAAAGATGAGATAGATCTTAGCAGCAATAATAGCTAAGTCTCTTTCCAATAAAATTATCACTGAACTATCAAAAGCATAGAATTTTACATTATTTATAAAGCATTCCTTGATCCTTCATTTTCTGAAACCAAATAAGGCAATTTGAGGAAGTAAAACTAAATGGCTGAAGAAAGAGAAGTGAATGGCTGTCAGGACTTCAAGGTTCAGTGGATTCTACCACTGACTGAAAATAATGGCCCATTTAAACTCTATTTCTTACAGCAGTGCTTAACTTAAAGAGCTATTACCAGACTTAGGCTGTATCAGTTTTTTGCCCTCTCTAAATAAAGCCTCAAAGACCAGGGAAGATGATGCAGTGGAAAAGATGTTCCCATGGTTCCACAGACATCCCACTCACTGCTTCTGTATCAAAGGAAGATTCAAAACGAAGAATGACACTATCACCCCTCTATTGAGCCATTACAAAACTATTCAGTGAATTCTAAATGTATTTCAGCTCCATCCCTCGAGCAACTGAACAGCCACAGACATGGAGAATGAATCGGTAACCACAGCTCAGGAATCCATCCCATGGAGTAGGAGATAGATAGATTTAAGTATATATTGCTCCAGATTACTGGCAAGTTTTTCCCGGGAGAAGACTCTTCCTCACTGACCTGCTTGTTGAGCCAGACGAGAGGGAGAAGGCAGGAGAGGCCGGTCCCTGCCCTTCCTCCGAGGAAGAGGAGTCCCTCCTCCCGCCCTCAGGAGCTCCTGGCTGGGGAACCGGGGCCTTTCCCAGGGCTGTGGGATGCTCTTCCATATGCTCTACCAAGGAGAAAGGCAGAGATTAGCAACAATGACTAAGTCAAATACTATTGTTTAAGTTTTTGCAGCTTAGAGACAGATTTTAAGAAAAAACACAAAGTTTTAAAATATTTAAAAAACAACTGCACATTCCCACTTACTTAATTCCCTGAACTCTCAGAGTTTCAAAGGGTTCATTTGTTTTCCTGCAGTGAAAAAACCCTCCATCCTCAAAGAACCAGAGACTGGTTGTTATAAGTTTCAAACACAAACAAGGAGAGAAATAAAGGGAAAGGATATGTGTCACATTTCATGAGATGAGACTTTATTTCAGAAATTAGCAAACACTCAATGAGACAGCTCCGTTCTCCACTTCCTGCCACCAATTCACTTCAGCCACTGCCAGAGACAGCTTGAGAGCTTTAAAGTTTTACAGATGGAGTTAATAGGCTTGTTTTCAATAAGAGAAGCATTGTGATTTATTTCCTTATGCATCTAATAAAGACAACGTCAATCTAGATAACTGACATTTCCATTTTTTTAATGGCAAAAATCCTTTCTAGTCAACACGTATCAGACACAAGTTGTAAAACTGCTCCATTATTTTAGTGTCAAATGCTTTTATCTATAAAAAGATGAACTGTCCTCTGAAAAGATACCTTCTACCTCTCTAAAAAGAAATCAAACACAGACTAGGAAGTTTGGTATGTAAAGACAAACTGCTCTTATGCCATACCCACTGATATTTTCAAATGAGATATTTAACTAGAAAGTTGGATGGGGCACTAGAACCCTACTGAGGGTAACAACCCTCCTCGTGGCCATCCCCATGAGCCGCACCGTATCCCGCTCAAACCACTGACCCTTCCACCCTGCAGAAAGGAGCCTGACAGAAATGCCCAAACAGAGCCATAGTGAGAGCACGGAAGAGCGACACAATCTTCAAATTTGGTTACAGTTTGCCCTTTCTCTTCTGCTAAGTGTGTAATTAAATATGGGGAGCGTGTTTCTGGCTGCTGAGAACAAGGGGCAGGTTACAGTGAGTCAGCTGGCCAGCTACTGACACCGCACTCTGAAATTAAGAGGTTAAAAATAGCACAGGTTCTGTGCAACAACACAACCCAGAAGAGGTGTATCACAAACACTCATCACATTCTTATGATGCTTCTCCTTAGGCAAAGCAAAAACCCATGCTTAAAAGTCATAAAAATATAAAGACTGGAAATAGAGCATTTTAAGTTTAAAGATGCAAAACAAGATGATGTAAATGATTAAAACATTACCAAAACCAGAGTGAGATTTTCAGAGAGGTCTAAGTAACACCAAGCAACACTCCAGTAGAGGGCAATGGGAGATACAAAGGTTTGTTATAGTTTTTCTTTTAAAAAGTACATTTTAACTCTGTGCAATGCCACTGCTGCGTGACACCCGAACAGAGCAGTAAGGAACGTGTACAGGCCTTTGCTTTCCTCAGCAGCTCTGCTTTCACAGGGCAGCTCCTCACACCACTGCTGCTCCTACCTTCCCCCTGCTATAATTTCAGTTTAATGAACAGGTGATTGCTGTTAACAAGGGACACTGAGGAAACAGGCTTTAGGTAAACCTTCCTGTTTGGCTTGGTTTTTTTCAAATGGTTTAGCATCAGTCAATCAGGTGCAGATGTTTGATATTAAACTAGAAACTGGAATTTCAAAGATTCTTGCTGGCTGAGTGCACACAAAGCGTGATGAGCGTGGGGCAGGTTGGGGTGAGCCAGAGGAGGTGGTACCCTGTCCCAGTGCCCACCCCCCAGGCTCAGACACCCGGGGGAAGTTCCCTTCTACCCGAGCACTCTTCTGGAAAAACTTTATTTCAGGTTCCCAGACCCTGTGGTTGGGGGCACAAAGCTCCCACAGAGCCCCAGGAACTCCCAGTCCCCCACCTCCCCAGGAGCATCGCTAGAAATTAATATTTCAAAGTCTGTGAGCCCATTATTTAATAATCCATTGCCTCTGTCTCGGCTACAGAAGAGGAACATCACTGTAAATTACATCAAACAAGATAAACTTTATCCTTGAGATTCCCTAATTTTTACCCTTCACACGGAAAGGATTACGCGCTGCACCAAGGTCTGCAGGAAACGATAAGGATAAAATTCATACTATTATATTGATATTTTCATTTATTTTTATCCAGGAGAGCTCTGCTCGAGGAGACAGCCAAAGATTAATTCTGTTCAGCTGAGGAGGAGCAGGGTTTTGTGAGAGCTGATAAAAACTAAACCGCCCTGTTTTCCCAAGGATACAGACAACGGTGCATCCTACTCTGGTCAATGGAATTCTCTCCAAAATTCAGTATATTGAATAGATTAAAACACAAGTTATATTAGATTGAGGAATGCTCCTCTAAATCCCACTCAAATCCCCCTGCACTCCCAAAGGCGGCAGTAACACAGACCAAACCAGGCTGCACAGCCTGCAGGGCGAGCAGCACACGCGGGTACGTCTGGATAAAACCATCTGCTGGATGCTGCTCCCAGCCCGTAAAGAGCTGAGTAACTGCAGTTGTGCATTCCCCCTCTCTCTGTGAGAAGTGTATAAACACAAAATGAAGCGAGTTAAAAAGACAGGACACGTACTGTATAAACAGTCCTAAAGAAACTTAAGTATTTTATTGCTTCGACCTCTGGACAAATAAACTCTTGTTCCAATCCACACGGACGTTCTGCAGTTCCCAATCACCAGCTCCCTGGCATATTCATAACGCACAAAAGCTGAAACCCAGCAAACAATCCCCCTGATTATCCTCATTTCAGCAACTTCAGCAGAGCTGGACTGGAACCTAAGGTCCCATTCAGCCAGCTCATTAAAATCAAGCACATCTCCACACAATCCCACTAAAATCAAACAAATCATGTATTTATTATGGGTTGTGCTTATGTATTGCACTAAAATCAACAGCAGTCAATCTTTTTAGGGTCCATTTGATTTTTATGGCTGTTTTCCCCTTAAGGGCAGTAGGAGAAGATCAATGGGAGGAAAGAACGTTTCTCTGGGAACCCCCCATCCTTGGTGTGGATGAAAAGGGGCACGGCGTTAGGCAATCACTAACCTGGGGCTGCCAGTGATTCTTTGACAGAGTCTTCTTCCTTGGTTTGAACAATGTCTGTTTTCCTCTTACCACTCTTCTTCCACCGATTATTTACTTGATCCACCAAGAACTGAAATTCATTTCTGTGTTTGTTCCCTGCAATGTAGGAGCACGTTACTGAAAGCTGCCATGGACTGAAGGTTTGCCGTGGAAAGGGGAAAGGAAGGGAATGGAAATAAACACAAAGTGCTGAACTAAAAACACTTTTGTTACAGCAACGAAAACCAACTCATCACTGCAACATATTCCATGTTCTATTAATGATCCAAACCCGTGTCTGTGCTTGCGCCGCCACACACCCATCACCTAGCTCCTCTGGAGCTTCAGTTTTTACAGTATTACTATTTTGTGTTGTTTTGTTTGATGGTGTCACTCCAAAGCTTTTCAAGTGAAAAGAAGAAAGGTGCTGGCAGAGGCAGGCACTATCCACACCCTCCGTAAATCACTGTGCTGAACTCACGCACCACGCGCCTTCCACACAGCTCCAGGCAGCTCAGTGATAAAACAGCCACAGATGTAATTACAAATATTTAAAACACAAAACGTAAATCACTAAGCCTCTGAATAATATTGCAAATTAAGAGATTTATAAAAAGAAACAGCAACAGAATAATTTTTTTTTAACAAATGTATTTCTTTTCCTGTAGATTTTTTTAACTCTGTAAATAAAGGCCTGGCTGTGACAAAAGCAGGACGAGGTGACACGGGGCTGTGGGTGGCACCGGGCTGTGGGTGTCCCCGGGCTCCCGCGGGGCAGGAGGAGCCAGGGCAGGGGACTGTCTTTAACTGCAGCTCCCAGGCACGGGCTGCGGCGGCTGCAGCAGAGCTCCCAGCCAGCACAGCACCCAGCCAAAACACTCATTGGGCTTTCAAAAACACTTCACACCAAAAGCAAGAAAAAAAAAAAATATACCAGGAGTGTAATTTTCAATTTACCAAGAGCATGGGGAATTGTAAAGATGGTAAGAACTGGGGAAAAAAAAAAAAAAAAAAAAAGTTTTATTACAGCTGCTTTATCTTGCATTTCAACAGGGCTCTTATGCAGCCCCAGTGTGTTGTGTGCTTCATATGAAATACAAAACAAAAAGTATACAGTTGGGTTTTATTCAGAACTTATGCCAGAGTTAATTAATTCATTAACTCAGCTATGAATTAGGGACCTAGGGGGCAAATGTTGTCCATTAAAAGGAAAAAAAAAGTCTTTTATTGTATAATAAAGCTTTTTAAAGTCCATCTGTGCTACAGTGAAAAGAAGGCATTTGATAAAGTTCTTTTAATCTCTAACTGTCCTCTAAATTTAATCTATAATTCTTTTTTTCATGCTCATGATTTTCCCTATCGCTTTTATGAGAAATAATTTGCTGACACTAGTTACCATACACCTCTTCGCTCATTGCTTTTTATTAGTTTTAAAACCATATGTTCCCATTGAGATATTTTTCTACTGTCTCTTTTTTTTTTAATTTTTTAAATTTTAAACGTTCAGTTGAGCTGCCTGAGGCTAGTTTATTCACTTGGGGGGACTTGATAATTTTGAAACCATATCCTTTTAACAACATAAACTCAATGAAATACTTGGGTTTGGAAAGTTAAGATGGCCCTGAACAGCGTCCTGTTGTGCAAAGGCCAGCAAAGGAGGGGGGGCCGTGCCAGCAGCGCGGGGCGGGATGGGTGGGGGGGTTTTTAACAGGTAGAGTCACAACAGTGTGACTGTGACACAAACACAACCAGGGACCCAGCTGCCCAGGGAATTTGGGCAAATCAGGGTGAATTCGGGCTCCTTGAATTCGGTGAACTGGCTGCTGCTCTGAGCCAAGTGCCGGTCCCCGCAGCGCTGGGCTATGTCCCTCACACAGCTGCTAAAGCCACGGGGGGGAAATAGCCAATTTGGGATTAATACTTTTTAAAGGATTTTACTTCTTTTTTTTCCCCCTGCATTGTATTGCTAGAGATTTCCACGTAGCAAGAGAATAATTATTAATCAGTTGGTTGGAATCAGAGGAGAATGCTTCAGATCCAAAACCACAAGCAGTGCATGTACACTTAAAAAAAATACATTCTCAGAAACAGCAACAAAAAGCAAGGGAAAAAATTGCTAAAGATTTAGGCCCTTATTTAGCCTTCACAGAAACCCAACTAAAATCAACAAGGCTAAATCTAGCTGCATTATGGAATAATTTATATGCTTGAAGGAAGGCAAGGAAAGACAGGAAATATGAGCATTTTGCAGATTTAAGTACACCCTGAAGTATAATCAGAACAAGGCGTCCCTTCGTCGCGCTGCTCCCTGGGGCTGAGTAGTTCCAGGGACTCTCAGGGCCACGTGTGAGGGTGCCAGCACAGCACAGGTGAGGAGACACGGGGGGGAACAAGGGGGAAGAGTTTGGGAATAATAAAACACCACCAGGGAGCACAAAGTGATGCCTCGTGTGTACAAACACACACGAAGGGTCGGGAAATCATCTGTGAAAATCAGGTTGCATTAGCTATTTCTCTGCTGAATGCCCACAGCAGGACACAAGCCCTGCGATCTGTAACTCTCACAAGGTCTGCTTCTAACCCGACCACAAGGATGGTTCCACGGAGAGAGAACACACTGTTCTCGAGTTTAAGCACACAATAAGGAAAAACACAGTTTAACTGTGCTTTCCCAGGGAAAAGCAGGAATCAGTTCTCTGTTGGAAAAAAACCCCAAGCAAACCAAAAGCCACTCTTCCCAATTCCCCCCAAAAAACCCACCACAAGATTGTATCATTGAGCTACAGTTCTTGCTGTGATACTTCTCTTATTTTTTGTCTCTTTTTTCCTTTATTCCAGTTACACCTCCCCCCCCAAAAATGGAGGTATTCTGCCAGGGCAGAAGCAGGTTTAACACCCACCAGAGGCCCGGGTCTCCTGCACAAACAGAGGGGACTCTGTGTCAAAAATGAAACAAACAGCAACAACAAACCCAGAAAAAAACCCACCCAGCTTGCACTGAACCCCAGTTGCCTGCAGAGGCTGGAGGGGGAGAGGTCACCCAAAGGAGCAGAGTGTTCTTTTTAAAAGATCACTTTGAACTCCCAGGGCTGGACAGGAGGGGAAGCAGGAAAGGGTGCAGGAGGAGGAGACAGGGCTGGGCCAGGGCGTGTGGAGCGGGGAAGGAGGAAGGGAGTGAATGGAAGGAGCACTATGAAACCCCCAAGGATTTCAGAATCACTGTATACAAATAAAATATGGAAAAAGCATTTTTGGCTCACTTAAAACATACATTTTAGCAGTAAGGGTGACTTTGACAACTACAGAAGTGCAAAATCATATGGTTGAGGACACCTGCAGCCATAAAGTTATTTTAGAAGTGTCATTAAATATAAACTACTGTGACTACATCGCTTGTTAGTTAACTGCACTCTGCACTGGACAGCAAAGGAGGTACAAAAAGAGTACATTTATACAAACTTGTCTGCTACAGGATGAGTTAGAGGACTTGGGAAGAGCAACCACCAGCCAGACCCCAGGCGTGTTTTAAATAAAGCCAGTGCCTGATCAGTGAGAGTCTAGTGGAGGAGGGAGTATCCTGAGTAAGGGGAAACCCAGCAGCTGTGTTACTTACGATAATCTGCGTGGATCTCGTCTATTTCTTCCTCTGTCTGGTCCTTTGTGAAGGTCAAGCTCTACAGAAATCATACAAACATTTATTTACAGAAACAAAAAGACGATAAAGCTTTAAAACTAGAGACTTAAAACTGGAAGAAGGATCAGCTGTGGTTTTTTCCCCCACCAGCTCCTACCATCTCACCCACAAACAGCAGTATATACGTTAAGCAGATATAGTGCCATTGGCAGTGGTGGGCTGATGGCTGGACTCGATGACCTTAGAGGTCCCTTCCAGCCTGCATGATTCTGTGACTCTATACATGTGCCTTGCTTTGCTTTCACAGGGTCAGCAGGGCTAAGCCAAGCCACCCCATGTAACACCCAGCATGTGTGGACCATAAAATATTTCTTAATGCTGCGCAACAAACATGCTCCAAAGGTCACAAAAGTATCCTATGTCATGGGAAAGGGACAGGCACTGCTGCTGATACGGAAGCAAGGAATTTGCTAGCTAAATCCTAGAGAATTCTAGGAAGGAAAATATTCCCCACGCTGCCATGGAGGGTCAAAATCCTCCAATATGACCAAGGGGAACATTTCTCAAGAATTTTTATTGCAATCAAAAAAAACATGCTCCTACTTAAAAGGTTTGGGCATAGAAACATCAGCAGTCCAGGAAAAACGGCCCATGGCAAAGGAGCAGTATGAGAAAATCGTGCTGATTAGGAGATGGTATATGGAATTCCAACATGCAACCTGGGGATTCCCATCATAAAGTGACAGGCAAACACATCCAGTGTCTACTCCACAGCTTCTCCCAACCAGCCCCCTCTGGGAACAGAGACCATTAACTTACATTTTCACCGGTTTTGTTCATTTCAAGCTGCACCCGAATCTTCTCATTCTTTTCCAGCTCTTTAACGACCTCTGCAACTGTTTGAAAACACAAGGAAGGGATGTAACAGCACGGAATGAAAGGACCAGGAGTTTAAAGCACAGGGAGACAAACCAGCATGAGCTCTCCATCAGCGGAAGCTCACACTGCCAGGCTGCGGTTTGACACTGGTGCCCAGGCTGGGGATGGGGGGGCTCTGGCCGAGGTGCCCCTCCACGTGTGCCCGCAGTCGGTCCCAGCCTCCTCCCGGGCCACTGCTCTTTGTCTCCTTTGTATTAAATTCATGGCAAAATGTAGCCTTTTCCAACCATATCTGAACCTTTCGCTGCCACACGACAGTGTTTCTGTGGTGCACAGACATGTCTTTTATAAAAAGAGTTTCCATTTTATAACGTATCTTTAAATGGAAGATAAAAGGATGACATCTACTGGTTCTCTTATTTTCACCCCCAAGGACTGCCTTCCAAGGCAGCACAGAGCTGTCCCCAGGCTTGTGGCCAAATCCCATAGTCCAAAAATGAATTACAACCTACTCCAACGATTAAGTCAGACACCTCAGAAGTATATAAACAGACATAACTGTGTTTGTTAACATTTAACTAAAACTACAGCTATGCAGGACCCCGCAGGGTTTATTTTGACACTCACTTTTACAAATCTGCTTCTACACTGAATCATTTTCACCAAGCTACTGGGTAGCTATGGGCATTTATCAAAACAAACGCTTTCTCTAGACAGTACAGTAGCCAGAGAACAAAAGCTTATTAAGCTGTGAAGGAATAAAACCTGTTCAAAACTGGTTCAAGCCAAATGCAAGAATTTGGCACCTCTGCTTCCTCCGAAGCTGAGCTGTTCCAATGCTGTTGTGACCTTAGGCTCACTGCTACCACCGAAACCATGTCTGCATCTCAGCTGTGGGAGTTTAATAATTCATCCCTTACAAACAGGTACTGAGCCAGAGCTCAGTAAAAGTTTAGCTAGTGCCCTAAATAAGGCAGACGTACATCCTAACACCCTCTGAAACTCTGCATTTACCTGGCTCAGGGGAGGGCACAGACACTTGGTGCTGCCCCACCACCAGCAGCACGTGAAGAAGCGCCCCAAGAGCCCAGAAAGCATTTATATTTATTTTCCAAAGTGTTTAGGCACAAACTAAGCAGACACTTAGCACCTACATCACTTGTGCACTTCACCTTCTGCTGGTGGGGCAGGGGGTGAGCGAGGGGCTGTGTGGTTCTAGCTGCTGGGGGGGTCAGACCACAACATCTTCTGAGTCGGGTTCTTAAAATGGTTAAAGGAGCAAAATGAAAAAGCAAATCGCACTGGTTGCAAACTCCCTTTTCTCATACACTTGCTCCCACAACCCAAGCCCAGAGCTGGCAAGTGAAATCAAGATTTCAAAAAGCAGGAGCCTAACGTTTGGCTGCTTAATTCAGATTTATAGTCCTCAGTGACGGACTTTATTTTTCAAAAAGCACTGCATCGTCTGGTGGTTCTGCCTGTTTAATAAAGGAGTTGAACACCAAAAACAGACTTTATTTGTGAAATGCCACAGTAGAAGTTGTGGATATTCAGCATTTCCAACAGCCTGATCACATATAAAGCCAGACGTGCATGGAGTTAACATATGAGCTTTTAATATTCATTTGAAATACATACTCCCCTGTACGGTCAGATTTATTAAGTGATAACTGACAAACTGGTTTTTACTGTGTTTAAACTTGGTCACTTTCTCAAGGGGCACTTCTCCCGACGGCCCCGCTCCCAACGAGACCAGGAATTTATCTGGTCCAAACAGCTTCTGAGCCTTCCACACACAAAGCACTCAGAATTGTTAACAACTTCTGGACCCGTACTTCAGGACTGAAGCCTCTGTGAACATGAAATTCAAAAGCTCAAGCTGAGGAAGAGCATTTCTCACCCCTCTGCCCCCGAGGCAGCCCTGGCCCGGGCAGGACTGACCCCGCTGCAGCCCCAGCCCCAAACCAGCACAGGGAACACAAAACCAGCTGCACCAGAGTCTCCAGGACACTGACAGCTCTGCAGCTCCCGGGAGAGTAACAGCAGACATCATCCTGTTAGACATTCCTTTAAAAGGACTGTTTGCCTTAAGCTTCTAAGCAAATAAAAAATAATATCACTGTAAACCTGAGGTGCCTCTCCCCCGCAGTGTGTTGGTGCCGTCACTGGTACCGCTCAGAACGGCACGGAGAGGTGACAAATGACACAGCTTTAAAGAAGAGGCATGTTTTCATCTTGTGTAAAATAGACTATAACAAGATGAGTTGGGACCATTCTCCCTCCAGCTCCCACACACTATTCAAAACATCAAAAACAGCCCCTCTGCCTCCGAACCCCGGCAGCACAAACCCCTCTCTGCTGGTGTCCTCCCCGCTCCAGCCGGCGTTTCCAAGCCCGAGCACACACAAACAGGCTGCTCTTTAAAGGCAGCTTATGTTGCACTCAGATTAGAGCCTAAAACACATCTTCCTTAGCCCATACAGCTCTTTGATGCCATATAGTCTGAGTTTAATTATTGCCACCAAACACCTAAATTGATATAAACTCCAGCAAAACATTAGCACTTTCTTTTTAATTCATTCTACCCTTACCTATCATCTCCAAAAAGAAATCTAATTTTGAAATTAAATTCAGTAACAATGTAAAAGCCTCAGTGTCTAGGATGGAGAGAACAAAAGGTAAATTAATAATCCATTAATTTATTAAGAACCTCAGGTATGTCCAATTTTTTGACTAAAAGCCTCAGCTCAGAGTCTCATTTGGAGGCACTCACTAAAATGCAAATAAGAAAGACAGAACATTTTGCAGAACTCAGTCAGAAAAGCAGGAAAGAATTTCAGCACATCCTTGCTGGATACTTCCAGAGTACAGCAACACAGTTCTGGTTTTCCTTAAATTTCCTGGTTTTGGATTAATCTTGATTTAGACAAGATAAATTCTTCCAGCTCCAGTTTTCTCAGATACTGAAGCCAGCCTTATCCCTACCCCGAGAACTAGTTTATGATGGTAACAACCTCCCTAGAACTGCTAACTTACCTGATTTGGGATTTAGGGAATCACACTGAGCATTATACACGTGCACAAATTCCTGGTGCCTTTTAACGAGCTGCTGCCGGGTGCCCTGGGTGGACAGACCGTGTTCCTTCAGCTTCTTCCTCAAATCGCGATCAGAGAGCAAGTTGTAAACAACTTTAGACATGGGCTTCCTCTTGTGAGCAGAACTGCCAAAGGAAATGAAACAAACGTGGTTTTTTTAATTACTACTTCTATGAAAACCAAAGTACTGACATTTTTGCAGGGCATTTCTGGGTAAGAAATACTTGAAAGACTCATTTCAGCCATGACAGACCCACAGCCAGTTACACGGGGTATCACAGATGCACCGGCAGCAGCTCCAGGAAGCCAGAACACTTCTTCCATCTACCACAGGGATTCATGCTTGGGATTGCCCTGACCCATATGCAAGACCCTGCACTTGCCCTGGTTGAACTTCATGAGATTGTCATGGGGCCACCAGTCCAGCCTGCCCAGGTCCCTCTGGATGCCATCCCCTCCACAGACACACAGTCATGTACCTGAAAGCAAGTCTGCAGTTCCCATCTAGCAGAAGGGTAGCTTGGTCATACAGAAACTGACATTAAACAGGATTAATAGTGCTCTCAGATAACATCTAAAATCAAAATTTCCTCCTTCACACCGCCTTATGTCAGAAGAATTCAACATTCCTGGCACAGCGAGGGAAAATATCTTAATTATGGGAAGCTGCCATAGAAAATTAACGTCCTGATACAACTTTTGTCACTTAAAATTAGCAGAACAGTTTCCTTTGCACAAATTATCTCAGTCTTCCCTTTACCTCCTGCTGAATACACCAGCCAGCAAAGGTGCTGCAATCCATCGACTGCCTCGCTCATCTTCTTCAACTTAAATAATTTATTAGTTACAGAACAGCAGCATTTAGTGAGACCCTTTTCTTCCTGCAGCAAAATCCAAGTTCAGCTGCACCACTCTGAATTACAGAGCAGGTAACAGCTTCCCATTGTGAGACTTATTTGAAAACTGCATTCAGCACTTTCCACTTACTACATTGAAATAAATTTCAAAGTTAAAAACCCCAAGTTTTGTGTGCGTTCTAATTCACCAGCCGCACGAGCCAGAAGAGCGCTGGCAGCTTGGCGAGCAGGCAGCTGCAGGAGAACAGCTCACAGCGGTTCTGTCATAGTGTTGGTGTGGGGTCTTCTCCCCATCCTGGAGAAATGCAGTGTTCTCTGTGAACACACACTTACCTGTTGCAATTCCTCCTGTGCGGGTTTGGGGGACTAAATTACCAGTTCCACTGGAACACTGCTCGAGTGTTAACATGCATGCCACGTGCTCCTCGTTTGAGAATAAACACAGCTAAAATTCCTCAGAGAAGAACTAGAGATGTGTTGTTCCTGAAACCCGAACAACACTGCCACAAAATAAATACATTGCCAAAAAGCCAGCATTTCACAGACAACAGCCAGTCCCTAAGGAGAAGGATCTCACGTGGTATTTTCTTAAGATCAGGCAGTCTAGATAAAATAAGCAAAGTTTAAAATTCTGTAGGGACATGGGTTTGAGCCCAAAGAATGAACTGGCTTTTATTTTCATTCATTAAGAACAGAGAAAACACTAAAAACATCCCAAATAAAAATTAAAATGTAACACCGTATTTCAATATTAATTTACTATTTATTCATCTTCAAAGTCCTTTAGCTTCTAGATCGCATTCTGAGCACGACTGGGCAAAATAACATCTTTAACATAAAATTACTTTGTAATTGAAGGCTCAGAGGAACTGGAAATAGGAGCATGCAGTAAAACCCCATGCAGCAAAAGTCCCTCGCAGATCTTGGTGTGATCAGTTAAAAATAATAATGGCCTAAATTTATGCTAGTAAGTAAAATAAACTGAAATCTACATTTCTGATGTGAATGTGGCGCCCGTGACAAATGCCAGGGCGGGGGCGTAACGCCAAGGCGCGCATTAATCATATGGGAACGGAGATCTTAGAGACACAACCTTGACCGTGGCAATTTAGAAAGGACCACAGTGAACAGAGCAAGGGGCAATTTTTATCTTTTAACTTGACAGCCAGTGAAGAAATTGTCTTTGGGCCCACCTGAACTGGGGGAAGCAATTAATCTGCCAAGTGAAAAATGGGAGTGTTATCTGAATAGAATGTTAATGCTGGTGAGTGGAAATGTGCCGAGAATAAGGGACAGACTAACTTCTACTCCCTGTGTTGAATTCTTTAAAACATTGCCCAGTGTTCTCTCACCACTAAAGGCCAAAAAATAATTCTGCTGGCGATGCACATACTGTCTTGAGAGGGGAGAATCACCACAATCATATCTACACAGTGATTTTGGAGTGCTCTATGCAGCAGGTAACCAAGGAACAACCAACCCCCTGCATTATACCCCATCAGCTGAGGGCTCTCCCTCAGCCCCGCAGACCCATGGCTCCGTGCAGGTCCCACTCTGGTTCCTCACCTCCGGAGGCTGTCCTTCTTCTCCTCTCTGCTCAAGCAGCTGTCCAGGTGCTTGTTTATGTACTGCTCCGGGATGGCAACCTCACACACCGGGCACTCCACTGCAAGCAAGGGAGAAGGAGTTCACTGGGGTGTGCTGCAGCACAGGGCAAATGTTTGCATCTCAAAAACTAGTTGTTGATTGAAGAAAATGAAAATCCAGAATTGCAGATTTCTTTTTTTAAAAGACCTGGTACATCTATCCAGATTTTTTTTCGCTCTCATTTTTATTCCAGAACACTTACTTCCCTCTCTGTGGAATATCAGGATGGCTCTCATCTTCCCTACAGTCAGATGGAATGAGATCTCTAACACAAATCTGGACTAACGTACATACTACACAGAAACCTGGGGCTAATATAAACAGAAGCATATTTCCATGCTAATGTCTTCCAATTCTGCAGCATTTCACTGCTAAATAAAGGAAGCTGCTTCATTATGGTAAAGCTGTATAGCACAAACTTTATTCCAGTGACCAGAACGTTCCCAGTCCGTGGCTCTCAGCAGGACAGACAATCCAGGACTCGTGGTCCCACCACACTCAGACCCATCACTTAGCATCGATAACCACACTTTGTGATGGGCTCAGGGGACTCGTGGTCCCACCACACTCAGACCCATCACTTAGCATCACTTTGTGATGGGCTCAGAGGCTCACAAACACCCCATAGCACGGTCCCACCCAACTCAAGAGTTCTTCCTGCATCATATTTTCAAGAAGCACCTATAGACATCACCTGTAGAGACAGTCAAAAAAACACAGACTGATAGACATCACCTGTAGAGACAGTCAAAAAACACAGACAACATACTTGTCTTCAGCAATCACATTCTGTCAAAACCAAAAAGCAACCTTTAAATTAAGAGTGTGAGAAAGTGATTCAATAACTGCCACCCTCTGCGTTAGTATGAAGGAAGTTGGTTTTGATTTAAAAGACAAAACAAAAAAAAACCACCCATGAAAAGCGCTGTGACATGCAGTAGAAGGGAGAGCGTTCTCTGGTGACACTGCTCTGCCATTCCTGACTCCCGGGACAGCAAACTCCAGCCAAAGGGGAAAAAAAAGCCCCAAGAGCTGGGACAGCACCATAACACCCTAGTTCTGAGCAGTCTGGTGGTGTGTTTGACATTAACATTTCAGTTCTTAACACAGGCACAAATAACACTCACTAAAGCCACTTCAGCATTGCCTCATTTCAAGTCTTTCATTTATATGGTTTGACCAACTACTTTGCATTTGTGGAAATAATTTCAATGTAAATCATGCTCGAGGATTTAATAAGGCCATAAAATGGTAAGCAAGTGAAAATTTCAACTGCTCAAGAATAAATGAGTGGTAAAATTTCATATGAGTTTTAAATTACTAACATAAGCAAGTCTGAGGCATAAAACTAGGAAACATAACTTCTGGCTAAGTTGATGCCATTTTCATACGGCAACTTTTCTGACTGGATTACATTTTTAAGGAGTACTTACCCAGCTAATGAATAAATGTGGACAACAGAGTTCCAGCTGAATAAATTGTTAATCAAAAGAACAGATAAATATGAACTAATAAGAACCAGTGTTGTACTCCTGGTCTTTTTATTTTAATTTCAGCTTTTAATTGGGTCAATAGGATGGCTGCTCCCATGTCAAAACTAAGAGGATTCTGTCATTTTATTGTAGTTGATTAGTACAAATAGGCATTTTCATGCTTCAAAATAAATTAATCTCAACACTGTAGAATTACAGAGGAATAAAGCAGATTACTTTTCTCTGGAGAGTGTATGAATAGGAATATTAACAGAACTGAAAGCGTGATCATTTTGATTGTGGGTGCACCCCTCAAATAACAAACACATCACAAAATCCCTTGCGTCTGGTTACTTAAGGACAGGGAGCAGATGAACGTGGATGTTGTCTGTCTAGTCATCGAGAGGCAGGAGAAGAGAAAATGACTTCACTTGTTAGTGAGTAAGCCTGTTGTGCAACTATTGTTTTTCAGAGCTGTTACTCAAGGCAAAGGAATCCATAAGCGCTGGACTCCGTTTAATGACTTGGCACGAGCCCACGCTTCCTCATGGAGAACATGCTGGTAGCAGAGCTGTCCCACCAGAGCTGGAACCTGAATGAAGCCCGGCCCAGTTCAACAGGCAACAGCAGAATGTGCCATCGCAGGTCAGAAGAATGCAGGGAGAGGAGACGGGTGCCACGTGCTGTGGGGACTCCACACATACAGCCACCCACCCCCACCAACTCGGGGGACAGAGTGGGAAAAAAACAGAAATTGAGCAGCTCACCTTTCTCAACTCTTTTTACCACCGACGTAGAGGGCTTCTCATGGCTTTGGGTGGACTCAGGACTCTGTGTACCCGCTTCACTGTCTTTACCATCAGCCTCTGCAGAACTGCCATAAAGGTTACGCTGTTCCTCCGTTTTGAAAACCTTCTGCTCCGTTCCTGCCAGGCCGTCTGCCTTTGTCGAGGTGCAGACTTTCTCCTTTTTCAAGAAACTGTCAATCACTGGCACCTCTTCTTTTACCACTGGCCAAGAAACAGGACTCCTACCCTGGCTCTTGCCAGCTGAGTACCTGCTACAGGCCAACGGGGATGAAATCAGGGGAGTATCCAAGACCAACTGGAACAGCTGCTGTCTAAAAGCATCCAGAAGACAACATGCGGTTAGGCACATTGGACAGGATGAGCTTGTGCTTTCAGAAGAAACCAGAACGAAACCAGATGGAGCTTTTCCTCCATTCCTTCCTCCCTCTCCCCCTCGCTCGCACGCAGCCCTCGGGCAGCCCACCCCACCCCGGGGCACTAGTTAAAAACTGTCTATGTACATCATGTACATCAACTTTTTCCAAAGATACACAAGTCACCAGGTGACCCCACAATTACACTCGTTTAAGTTAGGTTCCTGGGGACACCCAGAGCCCCCAGCTCTAAACCCTGCAGTGGTTATATCCAAACTAGATTCAGGAGCCCAATGTGGAGCTGGAGTTTCCTGGATTACTGGATGCAACAACCACATCCATCAGTGGCAAGTCACATCTGCCCTGTCCCAAGACACCAACTTCCTGCTGTACAAACAAGTGCAATTAAGCGTGGCAGCAAAACTATGTTTTTCTGTCTGCTCATGCCTAGATATGGACTGGAAGTTTTGAAGAGGTTAATTCCCCAGCTGACACAGAGGCAGGGCCGTGGGGCTGCTGGCGCAGGATCGGGACACGGGGAGCTCCGGGAGAGTCACTGGGAATGGACACGGCGTGTCCCCCCACAGCCCTGCTCTGCCTCTCGTCTGCTGCTCACAGGGGGCAATTCCAGCCAGAGGCATCAGCAGGGTCTGACAGCGTGGGCTGCTCCACACAGCCAAGTATCACATCTAACTGCAGATAAATGCACAGAATCCTTCAACTTAAAGGTAATAAACTATGGCCTCAGAAGACACGTCACAGCACAGATGGGCATACTCTACAATCAGGTTCAAAAGCCAACAAATGAGTTGCCTGTTGTTCCTTAGTACACTTAGGCAAAGTGTAATCTTCAAAAAGATGCCGCTGGGTGTTCCACCAAAGATGTACTTTTTTTAATTTTCCCCTCCCTTTTTGAACAAGGAATTTATCTTTTGGTTATGTAAAAAGATGTCCATTTCTCCAGGCTCCCCCAGGTTCTCATATCACTAAAGCAGCGAATCGAAGGCAACACCCAGTGGTACCGTATTATTCCTTGGGCTGTTAAGTACCCATTGTTACACAGAAGCCCAGCATCCCACGATGCAGCAAGCTAAAATCTGCATGGCTCAGAAAACATAAAGCAGATCCATAAATGCAAATCATCTGGCATCATATCACAGTTCAGCTTTCCCATAAAATAAACGATACAGCCCAAACAGGCAAAACTCTCTGAATCATTAGCCAGCTGGCTGTATTCATTGCCTTCATCTAGAGAACGCAGCTGATCTCCCTCATCCTTTCAGTGTATTTTGAGAACTCCTCCTCTTGTCAAAGTAACATGTTTTACTATTTGTAACTACCAATTATTTCTGTTTATTTTTCTACAACATGTATTCCCTAGCTAAAATGTACTTCCCAGTGTGTTCATACGAGCTGACAACGCTCCAAAAAGTCAAACTTTACATTGCTTTACCTTTTCCCTGAACTTGTTCATGTTTGCATGAAGGCAGCCAGGACAGGGAAATCATCTGAACAGAAATTTCAGATTCTGCAGTAAGAACTGTCTCAATGAAATATGCTCTTACATAAAACAAAGAGAGAGAGAAGCTGGAAGAACAATACTAAACCCAAAATCTATCCTAAGCTGATAATAAAGGTTGCTTTAATTACACCATTGGTCTACAAGTAATCATACAAAGATTTTCCATGTATTGAAGGATAAAGATTTATGAATAGACTTTCCAAAGGGCACTGATACTGGCACAGAAGCAATGGAAAGAACACTAGGACAAGAATATTAAAACTTGTTTCCAGAACACACATGAAATCTCGTCTGCCTTTTTCTGGTGGGAAAGTACAGAAAATGCTGGTGCTACATTCAAGAGAGGAGAGAAAAGTCCCAGACTGGCTTTTTGCAGAGTGTGGTATTTTGGGCCCGCTGAGCAGCTCCGCTGGCTGCGTGATGACATCTAGTGGCCCTGACAGACCCACACCCCCCCGACCTGCACCCCAAACCTGGCACCCCCACCCACAGGCACCCCAGGGATGGAGGAGCCAGAGCACCACGAGCGTTCCTGGCACAGTCCTGGGCTCTCCAACAGCACCTTTACCAACTGCCACTCCCCTCCCCAACACCAGAGTGAATTACTCAAATTTCTCATTATTCACAGGAATTCTGACAGCTGTGATTGGAGTGACCCGGCCAAGCAGGACTGCCCTGAGAGATTCACCTGGCACCCAGGGACAGATAGCAGAGACAAGAGAGAGCATGCAGTTGATGGAGAAGTCCACCCCTACCATCACCAGACCATCCAGCTCTCCTAGAACCTCATTGCACCGGTAAACCTTGGGACAACACAATTTTCAAAAAGCTCTGTGTTCTGCAAGCAGTTTCCAGCATTATCTATTACACTGTTAAGAATTGAACGCAGAGTGCTATCAGTTCTGAAAGGATTTAGCAGATACAATTTTACTTTCCTGGCACAAAAGCAGCAAACACATCGCAGCTGACAAACCTGTTTAAGAGCACAAGCAGCACCTCTAAAGGCTGGAAGATGAATCAAGATGTCAGTGAGCTCTGGATGCAGTGTTACATCCACCACCCAAATCCTCCTCCGAGCCCCAGCCTCTTTAACTGCTGCTTTAGTAACAGTATAAACACGGTGCAAAAATATTGTTCTTCAGATCTGCAAGACCCACCAAAAAAACATCAGTGTCCTCCATCGAGGTTCTGGTTCCTGTTTTATGGTCTGTTCACTTCTCCCTTGGGGAAGCAGAGAAAGCAGGTGGGAATTGAGTGCTTCCGCAGAAATAAATTCCGGGGAAGAGATGGGGTTGTGAATCTTCCCAGGAAGAGCTCACACAGGACAGTCCTAACTGTACTAAAGGACGATTTCTCTCCTTGAAATTCCTGCTGCAGTCCTCCTGGAGTGTCATCAGTGTATTAGAAACGACAGCACCTGCTCTCTCAAGCACTTGGAGTAGATGTGTTTACTGCTCTGACTCACCAGCTGTCAAGTAACCTGATTAGGAACTAAGATACAAACTTGAAAGTAAGAACATATTTTTCTTCCCTGTGTAGGAAAAAAAAACCACAGATCATTTTCAGCAAGGACTAGTTTTCTACTTACACAAGTGTAATTTTAATTTCTGTTCCTGAATGTTCTAACTAGGCGATGCAGAAACTGACAATTTTCATCAAAATAACCTCTTTATTAGACAACAACTAAATTAATTTCAACACAACCCCAAAACTTTACACATACTGGTTTTAAAGACACTGGCCTCATGGCAACTGACAAAAAAATACTGTTGATAAAGGAAAGGTGGCACAAACAGCACTCCCCACCCTGCTGTCCTGTGGTGAGCCCTGCCTGCAGGACCCACAGCGGAGGAGGCTGAGCAGAGGCTGCATCAATCTCAGCGAGGCGCTCCCTCCGCTCCTGTGCTGCTCCACAGCCCCGGGGCACCTGGACACCAGGAATACGTGAATTCCAACACGCTAAAGCCTGTCCAAAGTGCTCCTCTACCCTCTCACGCAGAATAGAACATTAATGGACCACGACGAACAGCACAACATCTTCACTCTTCCTGGGAAGCATCTGAGTCCAGCACTTTTACCAGGAGGCAGCAGGACTCCCCAGACAGCACTCACTGCACACTGATGATCACAAAGGCTCTAATTCTGCAAACTCCTGTGCCCAGGCTCAGTGCTGAGGTAAATGGGATCAGCACTGGAGTCTATTTAGAATTATTTCCATTCCGTGCACACACTGACCTTGGAACACAGCTTTTACTTTGCTAAGTACTACCAACATTAACATTTTCTTTCCCTGCAGGCCTGACTTAAGAAATGCGTTTGCATTTTGTGAAATACTGAAAAGATTTAAAGCCTAATTTTCATAAGCGCTAAACTACCCGAGGCTCAAAGTCAGGGCAGGATGGACTTGAAGAGCTCAGCACATTTCAAAAATCAACGCCTGGACTTTGGATTCGGCTTGGTTTGGGAAGGGCCAAAAGGAAACTTGGGGAAGGAGAGGGGGAGACAGAAGACTTGTTCTGTACCAGCATCGCCAGGGCAGAAACCAACAACGTTCTTGGGAGCTTTCATGGCCAGGTTGGAGGGGGCTTTGAGCAACCAGGTCTGGTGGGAGGTGTCCCTGCCCAGGGCAGGGGGTGGCACTGGGGGGGCTTTAATGTCCCTTCCCACCCAAACCAGTCTGTGATTTACCAGGACCCAGGATGAGCCCTGCCCTGGCTCTCCCCAGCCTCACCCCCCGGTGCAGAACAAGACACTACGGTTTGTGTCTTATTGATCTACCTTTATGTTGAGAAATTGATTGAACTCCAAGTCACAAAAGGAAAGATTATTAAACTACTCTGACCAGTAAGATTTATACTGATCCATTAAAGCAGTCAAAAAAAATTAACGTTTAAGATTCAATATCATAATGGATCCAAGTCAGCACTACTTGTTCCCTACGAAATTAGACATTACCAAAAAAAATAGTAATCCATTTATCACTAGGAAACACCAAAGACAGAGTTCAAGCTAAAATAATGGAACTGTAGAATTTCGGTTCTTCAAATAAAATCAATTCAATCTGATAGTGGTCATACAGAAGATTAGATCTTCATCACAGAAAAACTCTCTCAAGAAAGCAAGCCATCAACAGAACTCTGCTCTTTATCACTTATGAAGCCAAGAATCTCCCTGACTTCAAGCTCCAAGTTCATTTCAGAGAGAAAGACAATAGTGTATTTGTCTCCCATGGACACATCTATAAAAGACCTGGCAAATCACTGAGCTGCTTCTAATCAAAAGAAAACAGACAGATAACACAAGAAATCTCATATATCTGCTGTGGTGTTTACCAAGTCATACTTATTCTGTCGTTCCTGTCTTTCAAAGGGATGAGGAGATCAAAAATTAATTAAAAACGAACAGAAAAGTAGGTAACAAATCCAGGTGAAGCCACAGTACTCCATTACTTCTCTTATCCAGGAAAACTCACATTTGTGGTCCCTCAATACCTGCATTTTTGCCATCCAATGACTTCACCGAGAGAATTCTCTTGCAAGTGAGCCGTTTCCACCAGACAAAATCTTTCTGTTCAGAATTTCCCCTGCACACATAGGAAGGATCTTAGAAGAAAATCTTTATTACCATTATTTTCCCCATAGAATCCTGACGCATCTGCTCGACTTCCTGCCTGTTGGAAGAGGCTGTAACTTACAGGGCAGTTAACCAGAACAAAACCGAAAGGGGCTTACGCAGCCTCCACACATCACCAGAGCAGACAGGAACCTTCACCAGAGAAGTGTAAACATTTGTCTTTGACAACACTTCTGTGACACCATGGGTTGTTTGGTTTTTTTCCACTGCTCCTCTACAAGGAGTCCCCGCGTGGTCACACACAGTCACTCACACCCCAAACCAGAGAGAGAACTCAAACTGACAGCATACCTCGCAGAATTAAAGCTCTTCACTAATTCATCCAACGTCCGGTTGTTTTTCAGGTCAGATTCTGAGACTGCCTGTTAAAAAAAACAAAGAAAGAAAAGGGGAAAAAAAAAAACCCCAAACACAACAAACATTCAAATGCAGTGAAAACATCAAGTACCCAGAAAACGTTCAAGTGATCAATAATGTGTTTCTTGGATCAATGCCTAAACTACCCCCCGCTACATCACTAAGTGAAGATGCACACATCTTTTTTTCTGAAAAACATTATTTCCTGAAAAATATCTCAAACTAAAATAAATGCCCAAGAACTTTAAGTCTGGAAAAATGTAGGTAATAGATAAAAATGAAGCATAAAGCGAAAGCAACAAAATCCAGTGAACCCAATCTCCCACAATGCTTCATTGTAGCCCAGCTCTAATTATTTGGAAAATCAAACCAAGGATCCCATGAATGTGATAAGAACCTTAAGCAATAAGGCATGAAAACGGATGAGGGAAAATGTTAATTTTCTGATTGTGAAATGAAAATATGAATTATGAGACAGCTTTGTGCATTCAATTCATTTTTTAAACAATTTCTGATTTTTATCTCTCTCTCTCTCTCTGCTCTTTTTACAAAGCTTTTATTAGTCTTCCTCCTATCGATACCTGTGATTTTTAAGAAGGTGGCAGTAAAACGTACTCCATCAAGCAGTCTGCACTCATTTAAATGTTTAAAAACTGGCAGAGCTACAAACAGATCTGTTTTCCAGACTTGAAAAGTCCAATCTGGTTCATGCTTTAGAAACACAGAAGAATATTACTTCTATTTTGCCAATATTCCTGAAACACCATTCATTGTTTTGAGGCAGCCTACCATTTTTAGGAGTTCAATAAAGCCCAATGGGTTTAAGATGAAAAGTTAGATTCAGGCTTCGACTAAATTGCATTCTGTGTTCCTTAATCAAACAAGGCCTTCAAGTCAGAGCACAATAACCACCCACCTGCAGAACAGCCTGAACCTGCCTCTAGTCTTCTCACTTTTAACCTAATTCTCACAGCAAACACCTGCTCTCATCCCCAAAAGGCGACCCAGTAGAGTCAGGGAGTTCTAGGACTGGGTGCTCTGTGGGCACTTCTAAAGACTCCTTGAAAGATGAAGTGAGGCCACGCAATCACAGAAAATTTAAGTGCTTAAATTTCAGCACTCATGTTTCAAACAATGGTGTGTTTTAACTGATTGGAGGCAATGTTAAGTGTTTTGTGACAGACTGTGTACCCAGCTCCCAGCCAAACCCCAGACTCCATGCTCCCACTACTTCTGCCTATGCTGGGAGAAGGGCAGCTCTGAACAGGAGAATTCCAGCTCTGAGAGCACCACACTTTGCCCAAAGAGCTGCTTGCCCAAAGGAAAGGTGGTAATATACAACCAGAACTAGTTCTTTAGCTTAGTCCAAAGGGGAAAGCTCCTGAGATTTGCCAAAAAATAAACAAAAATCTAGCTGAGGAAAAGAAAGCCACTTACCACACAGCATGTTGGACACTGAGTTTTGTAGGACAAAAACTTGCGTATACAAAGTGAACAATCTGGAAAAAAGAAATATGTCATTTTAAACAGACATTCTTCCAAATGCAGTTCAGCATCCCTACTAGTCTATTTACTTTTTGTACAACGTATGCAAATGATTTCACAATACACCAATATTGAAAATACTCATTTTTCCATAGAATTAAGATTACCACTGGGCCTGTGCAGAGAGGACAACAGCCTCACAACTCTCTGTGCCCAGCCCCTGTTCTCCCACCCGCCTCCTCTTCCCACGGGGCACACAGCCCTGGTCTCAGCTGGCATTCCTGGGCAGCAAATCGGTCTCTGTCTGCTGTAGATGGCACAAACACCAAGAATTAAAGGTGCCAGAAAGTTCACTGCCATCTGCACTGAAAGACCATGCCCACCTGCAAAACCCCACCTACCACACCAGCTATGAGGCTCAGCCACAGCTCTGCATTTCAGCAGAGAGAAAAGAGGAGAATCCCGAAGTATGAATTCAATCTGAGAACCAGCACTAGAGACTTAATGACAATGACAGAGTGGAAGCATAAAAATCCCTGCCAGCAACTAGCAGTCTCTATTGAGTTTAAAGTGGAAGGTTGTTAGAAGAAAGAGGAATCAAACAAGGTTGGCACAAGAAAAGTCAGTAATGCCACAGTTCACACCACACATCGAAGATCATAGCTGGTTTTTTAACTGAGCAAGCAATTCTGAAACCTGCTTAGCTGGAAGCACAGGAGTAGTTTCAATTACAGATCGACCAAAAGGAAAATCCTGGATGACAAAAAAAAAAAAAAAAAAGAGCTCCCCAGCTCTGTCTGCCGCCAATTCCTATGAGGTTTGGGGCAAGGAAGAGAACTTCTTTATGTCTTTGTCTTCCTCACCTGTGTAGCACAGTGAAAAAAAAAAAAAAAAAAAAAGAGCTCCCTCCAACAGCTATATCAGAGAGAACAGACCCAGGTTTCCCTGCCCACCTCCCAAGCTGGCCCTGAGCAGGGCTGCAGGGCTCCCCTTCCAGCTGCTGATTGCCCAGGGCAAGGACCACTGCCACCAGAGCTGCTGAATGCCACCAGTCACCCCAGAAGGAGCAGAGGAAGAATTAGAGAGATGGTTAGAAGCCCTGTAATCATTAAGAAAAAAAGAAACAGAAAAAATTCTGCAAGGAAATGTATTTCATCTTCATCTATTTGCAAATGATCACTTATTAATGGCAAATGGGGTTTTCTTCTTCAACTGTACAATCTCCCTGGACTGAAGAGATTACACAAAGGCAACCGAGTAGAAAATATTTCAAGAAATCTTGATTTATTGCAGAAAACAGGCTTGCTGCAATTTGCAGGGGAAAACTAAATGTGTAATCTGTTAAAAGAAGGGAGACAGATCCTTTGCTGAAATTAAGGGCCTCTAAGCCCAGCTGTGCCACAGGCGGCTGGAACACCAGCTACTCTAGAGAGCTTCAGTGCTCCCCACCATAAATACGCTGTTTTCAATGGTGGCAGCTTTGCCAAGCCAAACTAAAAAGTCCTCCTTAATGTAAGGAAGAGGAAGTGCTATAGTTTCTGAACTAAACAATTCTAAGCATTTATTTTAACATGAGAAAAGGCGATGTACTTCCCCCCAGTCTGACTTTCAGAGAACTGCTCTGCTGCCCTGTCCCACCAGATATCAGCTCCAGGCAGACAGAGCAGCACGGAAAATTTTAGCTCGTAGCACTTAATGCTCTCTGCCCATACAGCTTTGCATTTTGTTCCACCCTCAAGATGTTATGAGAGATATTTAAATGAAGAATTGTAGGAATAGGTGGCGTTTTAAGTGCATTAATCCAGATGACGTGTTTGTGTTGTCAGAAGGTTACAGGGAAGGCTGCTGGCTGCGTATCAGCGTGCATCCAAAGGAGCCCCTCAGAGGCAAATGTCCTTGCTGGAAAACTGTGAGGAGAACAGCTACGTGCTCTCTAAAGGAAATAAGGGGTCGGTAACCTCTGCTCTACATGCCAATAAATAACAAAGGGTCAAATGATGACTTGCCTCTGAAACTCTAAAGGAGTAAACTTTTTTTTTTAAGGACATTTTTCAACAGTTTGACTTTGTGGGGGCCCTATGTGCTGGCTAAATGACAGCATTCTCCAATCTCGCATTTCCTGGGAAAGACATATAAAGCCCAAACCATTCACTCAAAATTTCTTCGAGTACACCTTCTTCAGCACTACCCGTCTGCCTTACCCTGCCAGCAGGGTGACAAGTCAGGCTTATGTGGTGTCACAGGCCAAGGTACACTCCAGCCACAGCCACCCCGTACCCCCTGGAACCTATGGCAAGGTGCACTTGCATGGAATACATTAATTCCCAATTCCACAAGGTGACAGGATAGAGAGAAGAATGACCTCACTGCCCCTTTATTAACCCATTTACCTCAGCTCCTGCTTGAGCAAGTTTTAATAAAACTGCTGTTTCTGTGCAATTTTTATTACAACTCAAGTAAATTTAAACTGCAACCACCAAGTCAATAGTGAGGTGTTTAACTAACCCTCTGTAAAGTACGTCAGTCATGGGACAGAAGGCACAGACTTACACTGAAAAGGACAGAATAGTTTTGTGTTCAGCTCCATGCCCTCAGTGCTGACAGAATCACAGAATAGTTAGGGTTGGAAGGGAGCTCTGGAGATCATCTCCTCCAACCCCCTGCCAGAGCAGGTCCCACAGGAACGTGTCCAGGTGGAGTTTGAATGTCTCCAGAGAAGGAGACTCCACCACCTCCCTGGGCAGCCTCTGCCAGGGCTCTGACACCCTCAAAGTGAAAAGGTTCCTCCTCATGTTTAGGTGGAACTTCTTATGTTCCAGTTTGTGCCCGTTCCCTCTTGTCCTGTCCCTGGGCACCACTGAAAAAAGACTGGCCCCATCCTCCTCACACCCACCCTTGAAGTATTTACAGGCGTTGATCAGATCCCCCCTCAGCCTTCTCTTCTCTGGACTGAACAGCCCCGGGTCCCTCAGCCTCTCCTCATCAGAGAGATGCTCTGGTTCCCCAAACTCCCGGGTACGTACGGGACGGGGCCCGTCCCGCAGAGCGCGGTGTGTGCCAGGGTACTCACAGTTGTGGGAGCACTGCGGGATGATCATGGCGATGCTGAAGTAATCGAAGCAAATCCCGCACCGCAGCAGGTCATCCACCGCCTGCAAGGGGAAGCCGCGGTCAGGGAACGGCCCGCGCCGGGACACGGTATGCGGACGGCGCCCTCGCCGCCTGCCGCCGCAGCCCCGGCTCGGTGCGGGTCGCGGCCGATC